GACACGGGCTCTTTGCAGCTTTCTATTTCAGGGTGTGAAAACAGAAAAACCTGAACTGCAAACTACTTGCTCACTCTGCAGCTTTCAGGTCTCCATAGCAGGTTTGGGGGGGCGCAGTACAGGCAGATGCTAACGCTTGCGCTTTATGTGCCATCCTGTGGCGCCCGGCTCCTTGGGGCAGTGCTGGGGGACCACAAAACTCCCAGGATGTGGCTGAGCCGGGGCAGGGAGAGTTTACTGCCATGCACTTCAATGGCAAATAAGGGAGCTGGAAGAAAAATTTCCTTATAGCATTCAAAAGGTTTGTAATATTTTGGGGTTTCACTGAGGTCAGAGGCTGCTTTCCCACGGCTGAGACATTTCTTTTGTTCAGATTGATGGCAGCAGTGATTCCGTCAGAGGTTTTTCCTCCCCATTGAAAAGGGCAGAGAAACGCAATCAAACTCTCCCGGCCTCATTGCACGCTTGTTGAGGAGTGGTTCCCATCACAGAAATCCATCACAGGGGGCACAGAAGGAACAATCCATCAGACCGATTCTTCCACAGATAGTCCCATTTTGCTAAGGACAAACAGGGGCCAAGGAGAAGCCCTGCAGCCGGCTGTGGCTCTCAGCCCGCCATGGGAAGCCCAGGGTGCTCGGCTGCACTGCTGGAAGAGCAGCTGCTGGATGGAGAGGTGCTCTGCAGGTCGTGAGGGTCTCTCTTTCTCCCACCAAAGCCAGGAAAATAAGGGGGTTGAATAACTGCAGCTTGCGTGCTGTGGCCGCCCCGAGTCCAGCTGCTGGAGCCGGGCTCGGCACTGCTGCCTCCCACCGCTTTGGACACACCAGCTACTTATTAAAAATAGAATTTTTTCTTCTTGGAAAGGACAAAAAAAAAAATAAACAAGAAACCTTTCTTTTAAGATGATGCAGACTTGTGTTTTCACAAACCCAAATGCAACCAAAAATATCTGCTTTAAATCCCCATGCTGATTCCGGGATAAATCACTACGTTCAACTCTAGAGGCCACCCCCAATGCACAAAAAATGCCATGTGGGTGGATACGAAAAACGCGTACATTGACGTGGGCATTTTTTGTCCTTGCCCAACCCACCGGGCAAGCTGACCCTTACAGTTTCATTGCACCATGAGCCCCAAATGGGACGCAGACACCTCCAGTGACAGCGGAGCCTGTGGCCAACCTTCCCAGCTGCTTTTCCTGCCTGCCCAACAGCAGAGAGTGGGAACACTCCCCTGGGATGCTCACCATCCCCAGGTACGTGCCACAAAAACCAAACACACAGGCTGCTGATAAAACTGCCTTCAAATCCTCAAAGCGAGCATCTCTTGCCACGCTACCTCTGGTCATCCAAAACCTCACCCTGTGAAGCGCTGCCCACCACCAAGCCCATCCAGATAGCAAGCAGGGGGGCCCCACTCGCACATGGATGAACAGCATTTGATGGGGATGGCCCAGTGCCACCAGTGTCCTCAAAAACCTGCCTGTCCTTGCAGGCAGGTGCTGGAGGTGCTGGGCACGTCCCTACGCGGGGTCAACGTGAGTGGCTCCCTCCCTGCGGCCAAGCAGGGGGTTTCCCCAGCGAAGGGCTGAGCTGTCCCCCTGCCATCATGCCCGGGAGGGATGGTCCCGTGGGAAGCCATCCCAGCAGGACTGGCAGGCAGCAGCAGCTCTGGCACAGGCCCCCCAGCCTTTGGGGAGCAGCCAGCCAGCAGGAGGCAAATTTCAGGCACTGCTGGAGGGGACACGGGTGCAACTGCAGCACATCGCTGGGAAGGCACGCGGAGGGGACCCATGTGCGGGGGCGTGTGTGCAGCCGGCTACCCCTCCAGCATGGGGTGCAGCGGGGTGCCGCATGCCCCTTTTGCAAGGCACACACTCCTCCCACTCAAACTAAAGCCAAATCAAGCCAGCTTTAATCTCCGTGCATGAACAAGAGGAGGACGAGCACTCGCCATCCCCTTTGCGGGGGGGTGAAGGCGAGCGGCCCCTCCCCAGCTGTGCCGTGCTGCTGCTTGCCCCAGGGCCACTCGCACAAGGATGAGGACGGACAGAGGGTCACGCACAAACTGCAAGAAGCAACTTCACAGAGCCTGTTTCACCCTGCCCTTGCGATGTCTCTGCCATCCTGCTCATGGGCTGGGCTCACTGCAGAGCTGCGGGACACCCCTCGCTTTCCTGAAGGGACCCAAAAAAAGCTTCCTGCTCCCCATCCCCACCGGTTGTCTCCATGCAAACACCACCTCTGATAGCCCCAGGGATGCAACCCAGCCCAGAGACAGAGCCGGCACCTGAAACATCCCCGCTTCCCGAGCAGCAGCACCGCTTGCTGGACACAGGAGAGTTCACAGCAGCACCCTACGCTGCGCGGAGGAGCCAGCAAACACATCACTGCTGTAATTTTAAGCCAAAGCAACAGCTGTCACCCAGCCCTTTTTGCACCTCTGGGCTGCAGCCAAACCCTTGCAGCAAACCCTGTCTTTTACCCCAGCGATGGGGCTGTGCACTGGCATTTTGGTACCCATGACCCTGACAGGCTTCATCACTGTCACAGCATCCCCAACTTCTCACACACCTAATGCAAGGGGTCCAAAAAATGAGGGAGAAGTCACAGCTGAGGTATCCACTGTGAAGTGGGGAGCAGGGGGGTGGAGGAGGCAGGGAGGCTCATTCCAAGGGCAGCAGCGTAGAGAAGCTGCACGTTTCAGAGCTGATCTCATACAGAAGTAGAAAAAGCTTATGCAGAGTGGAAATGAAAATATAAATTCCACTAATACCCAGACCTGGTCAGCTCCCAGCTTTTATAGTGGTGGAAAGAGCCTACAAATTAAGTGCAGTTTTGCTATAAATAGTAAAAAATTGTTTCCTTTCTTTACTCATTCTCAATTTTGGTATTGCAATGCCCAGCAGTGACAGCCCTGACCCAAGGCAGCTGAAATGCATGCACTCACTCACGCCAACCCCTTGGAAGCTGCCTCCTGCAGAGCCACAACTCTGTGCTGCAAAACCCTACAGCTACACCACAGCCCACGCCTTCCCCCATTGGCATCGATACCCGCACTGAGCAGCTCATCATACACACAGGAACAAGTAAAAAGGACCTGGTTGGGATTTTAAACATATAATGTGTTGTTTGCTTGCTTGCTGGTAGAAGAAAAAAAATAAAAGGCACACTGAGTAAAAGAGGTGTTACCCATGATCTACCAGCCCACAATAACCCCTTTTCCCTTGCTCACCTGCAGCTCTGCAGGGACCTGACACCAGGGGCCACTGTGGGCTCCCAAAGCCAGTGGCCCAGGAGAGCCCCCTGCCCTGGGGCATCTCCTCCCCAGCACCTCAGGAAGAGCAGAACACCACTTGCTCACATTGCAGCAGGTGATGGCCATAATATGGCAAAGGCCCAGTCCTGGCTCATTTTGGTCATTAGCCACCCACTGCCACACCCACATTAGCCCCCCCACTGCTGGGTCACCTAGGGGCAAGGGTGGCCCTTGGGGCACCTGGAAATAGGGGGGTGGGAACACCCCTCAGCCTCTGCTTTCCTCCTGTTGCGACCCCCTCTTTGGGCTACCCTGGGTAGAATGAGACAGATCCCCATGAGGTTCCTGAAATCCCCCTGGGGCAAATTAAGGTGAAATGACACCAAACGATCTGTTACTGGCTTGTCATTCTTTAACAGGTGATTTTGGATAATTCAGGAAAGTGTAGGTTTTCCCTGCAATGCCATTAATCTATGCCTTACCTTATTTACTAGAGATACAAAAGAGTAAAACAAAAGGGGGTAGGGGGAAGAGAGAGGGAAATCCATCACCAGTCCAGGTCGCAGCATCAGCCCAGCCAACGGGCGGGTGTGTCCCTCTTCAAGTTTCCCCCCTGTCTGGGGATGGCTTCTGGCTTTCCTCCTTTGCTTAGACACACCTTCCCCCCTTCCCATGCTAAAGAGCATGCGTGCTCCGTCTGGTCCTCTTTTGAGTCGGTGGGTGCATTTGTGTCGGTGGTCGCGATCTCCCCCTGCCCGAATTACCTTTTAGCTAAAAGTTCACGGCTCGGCTCGCCGGCCGCCCTCTCGGTCCCTTTACCTGCAGAGCATTTGAGATGTCTCGGAGGAGTGCTGGGCGCCACCGCCCCTCTCATCGAGCCCGGTCCTGTCAGCTGCATTCCTTTGGGACAAACCGTCCCTTGTGTCAGGGGTTACAAGGTGGCCTTGGTGTGAGATCTTCCAGCTGGTCTCCTACACCCCCTTGGCCCAGCATGCTGTGGCTCCCCGTGCAAACAGCCTGCCCTTTGCTCCTGCTCGCTCCAGTCTGACCCCAAATCACAGCACCCAGCTGCCCCGGGAGAGAAAAAGCAACACCTCAAACCACACCACCCTGGAGTTCGATGGTTTTAATGGTAATTAAAGAAATCAACAGGGTACGTTTCAGCATTGAAATACAAGTGCAAAGAGGATGCAATATAAGGTTTTCTGTACATTTCTTACAAAATATTACATACATCCCATCCTGAAGTGGTACTTCACGCACTGCTGAGCCCACACACCGCGTGTGCGCACCAGCTGTAGCTTCTCCTCCTTATGTGCAGCACGTGGAGCTAACGGAAAGCTCCCCTTGGAGCCTGGGCAGACACTTTTAGGGCAGTGGTAGGTAAATACAAGGGGTGAGCGCAGGGACCTTTCTGCCCAGCATACCCCGGCGCAGCTCCTGGGGCACTGAGCCACCGCTGTGCCCTTGTGGCAAGCGGGCAGCATCACCCTGCTGGCACTCGCAGCTCTCAGCTGCTCTCCGGTTTGGTATAGGGAATGGCTTTTCTTGCTGCGGTGTGGCGTTTTCCCTGTGTCTGGCATCACCTCCCACTTCGCACCCCCCGCCGAGCTCTGGCGACCCTGCCTCCATTTTATCCGCAGCATCTTCTCAGGAAGAAGTCAACCAGGCTACATAGCAAATAAATTAAACCCCTCCTCCCCCTATGCCCCCCCAGCGCCGAGGCTGTGGGGCACACGTCAGTACCCGTCCTGGCAGTCGTTGTCATCGTAGTCGGCAGCAGGCTTGTTGCGGTAGGCGCCCGGCCGCCGTTTGCGGCTCCCGCTCTCCAGGCTCTGCGGCGAGCTGTCATCCCCATGGCTGCTGGACTCGCGGGTGGCGTCCTCCTGGGAGTGGCTCTCCTCATCGTCATTGTCCTCCCGGGACTCGGTGGTGTTGCTCTCTGTGGACCTGCTGTCCTCGCCTGCATTGTCCTCTGGACTGCCGTCATCCTCCGGGGACGCGCTCTGGCTCTCGGCTGATGTGCTCGGCACGTCCCCATCAGGGTCGGAGTCATTCTCATCCTCCTTTGACTCCTCCGCAGTGTCCTCTGTGGACTGGCTCTGGTCACCATCATCTTCCCCAGACTTGCTCTGGTCACCCTTGTCTTCCCTGGACTCGCTGTCAGGCGCAGACGGTGCGCTCGTGTCCTCGTCAGACTCCCGGTCCTCCTGCCCTTCCTGGGACCAGCTGCCGGTGCGCTCGCTCGACGTGCTCACCACCTCCTGGGAGGCATCCTCCGGGGACTCCCCCGGCTCTTCGTCTGACTGGTCGTCAGCGCCCTCCCTGGACTTGCTGCCCTCGCTCTGCGTGGAGGGGCTGTCCTCCCCATCCTCGTCCTCCCCAGAGCGGCTGGTGCTGTTTTCCTCTGACTGGCTGGTGGCAGGCTCTTCTGACTGACTGTTATCCTCCGTGGAT